CAGAGGTCACACCCTGGTAAGGTTTTTGTCTCACCTGCTGCAGCTGCTCCAGGTTTGTCTCAGCTCCTCTTGACTGTGCTGGCACAAGAGGGACAGGGCCACATCTTTCTACTGGGGGCAGTTGGCTCCTTGTCTTTACCCACAAGAGAAATCTGAGGGCAGCCAGTGCTCAAGGGCCCAGGAGGAGCTGAGCAATATGCTGAGGTGAGCCCTGCTTCCATTTGTGGTGATAATGCCCTGTTCCTGGGCCCGAGCAGAGGATTCTGGCAGTGGAACAGGCTGACAGAGCAGRCAGGGCAGAGGCCAAGCTGCCCCACGCTGCAGGGACCATGTGCTCCTCTCACCTGGGAGGCTCTGTCTGCACCCTGTGACTCAAACTGCTGTGGAGTGGGGCTGCCCTCACCTTTAGACACCCCACAGCTACCAGGGTGRGCCTTGGAGGCATTTCCAAGCCTGAAACATTGCCAGACTCAGAGCTCTGCTCCTTCCCACAGCCCAAAACACTGACTGTGTTTCTCTGCTGCTTTATCACTTTCGAAGCTGGGCTGTATACCCGCCTTGAGGGGTGATATACTTGTCCTGTGGGGCCTGGAGCAGTCCAATTCTCCCACAGCTCATTTCAGGCAGCTTCATTGTCCATTAGATGTTCAGAATAGGTTGAAATACATGATGCTAGGTGCAAACTGGTCCTCTGTGTTCCAGCCCTAATCTGGTTAGGGGATCAGTGCAGCAGGCTCACAGCAGCCCACGTGGCTCTGCCAGTGGCTKCATCCCAGGATGTGCCTGTGCTGGGCATCTCATCAGCTGGGTGTACATTCCTCTGCTGCTCARAAATGCTTCAAAATGGGAAAATGCAACCTGTTTACAGGGTAGCCTCATCTGTTCCCTGGGGTGTGTCTCAGGGAGTTTCTGCTGTGGAGGTTCTTTTTGTTTTCAGGCTGGTGTTGTTTCAGTGGTGTGAGGTTGTGGTTTCCTTGTGAGCAGTGCCAGACAGGAGTCCCCAGAGGGATCTGCCCAGTGGTGTCTCCTAAGTGTCATCAGCCCTCTGAGGAGCTGCTTGRTGACCCTCTCTGTTTGCCCTGATGCTCTTGGCCCTGCAGTTGCACAAATGTCCTTAGAAAAAGCCCAATATCCAATCCTGGCTGATGGAGAGGCAGGAAAAAGTCTGCCTGGGACTGGAGGGGACACAGGATCTGCTTCTGGAGGCCAGTGCTGGGTCTGCTTCCAGCTCCTTGGAGAGCAGAGGGGAAAAGAAGTTCTTTTGGGGAGCAGAGTGGATTCTCACTCCAAAAAAAAAAAAAAATGGTTTTGCCCTTCCCATTGGCCASAGAGTCCCAGGATCCCCAGCAGGAGCCAAATGGGACAGAGCTGAGTTCCCACCAGYGACTCCAGTGATGGCTCACCCCGGGGCAGAGGTTTTCCCTGGAAGGGAAGCTGCAGAAATTAAATAAATGGGAATTGCTGAGATAAGTTAAGGCTTTGTCTCAAAACCAAACATTTTGCAGAAGCAATGGGTGATTGGGGCGAGAATTCCTCCTCTTGCAAGGTCAACTAGTGCAGCATAATGCCATGTTTATACATGACAATAGCATTTATACTGGTAGAATTAATTAATCTAAATGCATTTTCCTCCATTAACCACTTAGAATGGGCTGTAGTGTGATATTGGTATCGGGTAAAAAAAAATCCCCAACAAACCAATAAAAAACAAACCCCAAACCAAAATAGAAAAGTGCCTTTTTTAAGATCTAAGCCCAGCATAAACACACTTCTTAGTATTTTTGGAAAGCTGTTTGCAGGTGTCAGCAACCCTGACACACAGCTGGTATTAACTTCGGGGGGCAAGAGAAAGGGAACAGGTTTAAATATAGCTCCTGGGAAATAAGCATTGGAATGGCTTCCAAGACCAGTTTTACCCCTAYTTTGCTGCCTGGAATTTTCCTAAAAATACAAAAGAAAAACAATCAACCTCAGAGASCAGAGACACGTGCAGATGAGCAGTTGCTTTCCTCCAGCCCCAGAGCATCCTTGTGCTTGTCTGAGCAGGTCCCTGTTTGTGCCCCTCTGTTTTCCCAAATGGGAAGTCACCATTAAAAGGCAGATTTGCTCTTCTTGAACCTTGTGGTTGCAGAGAGATGTGGTGTTCTCATAAGGAAACACAGATTTAATAGCACAGCAGCTATTGCAACCACCTGATTARGCCAGTGGTAAAGATGGATAAAGTGGATCAGGGTCAGGTCAATTAAAATCAGCCCAAGCCGTGTTTCTAAGGCTCTGCAACACACTTGTGTCCAATGAATGCACTGTGCTGACACTCCTGGAAAGAGCTGAGTCTGCAGCACACGTGTATTTGCAAAGCAGGAAGAAAAAAACATCAAAAACCCCTTACTGCACCATTCCCAGTTGATGGGGCCAGTTCAGCTCCATTTGCCTCTYTCTGACCTTTCCTATCAACTTCCCTCCCAGCAGAGAATTACCCAAAGGCTATTTTTTTTACCTTGTAATTTCCTCTAATCTCAAATAAATGCTCTAATTGACCTCTGTCCTTGCAGTGTACATGACATACCAAGCAGGGCTGTGCCCACAAAAGATCATTAGAAAGAGCTGTCAATTTACACCGGGGTCATTAATGTCGTAATTRCCTTGAACCAGAAATCAGACCTCAAATATGTGATGCTGTGAGTAATTATTCATGCAAAGTATGTGTTTTTCAGGTGGCTGCTAAAAAAAGGGCCATGTTATGGAGGTGAAATGGTCCATGTGAGCCAGAGCTCACCTTGCCAGAGGTAATTCCACACCCAGTGGCTCATCTGTACCCTGGACCATTTTGTTTCTGCCAGACCATCTGTGCACACCCAGGGAGGGGAGGGGGTGTTTCCCAAATTCAGCATTTTGAAAGCTTTGGGAGCTTGAAACTATGTCACCTTTTGGTGACCCCATAAATCACAAATTTTAAAATGTCTGCTGCTTTTTCCTGCTGGTTTTCCATCAGCCTGGTGTAGTGCTGCTCTATCCCGTAGACCACTGGAAGCCTGAGCTGTATTTGGCAGTTAATGATTACTTTCCCCTGCCAGTCACAATTTTGTAAAGAATATTTTTGCCAGTTAGCTATGGCTAATGTGCTTTGTCTGTACAGCATGGATGCAGTCAGGGCATCCCTGAAAGTTGGTATTTAATAAAAGAGAACATGTTGATGAACCTTCCACCCCAGCCCAACCCTGGGCTTTTCCCACAGGCTCCACTGCAGGGCACATACCCAAATGATCTTGGGATTTCAGYTGAAAAACTACTGTTTTCTCAATGTCTGCTTGGCTTTGGGGCAGAAATTCCATYACTGCTCTCATGGCAAAGCTGGGCAGGAGAGACATGGGAGGCCAGTGACATTTCCCTGTGGAGCAGTGAGCCTGTAGCACATCCTGCACTCACTGAGCAGTGCCAGCACCAGCCTGCAGCCCCTGCTTTCAGGGCTACCCTCTCCCATGGGCTGTTGTTGTCACCTGGCTGTGACAGCACGGGGCTGCAAGAGCACCCAGCCTTCCCCATCCCACAAGCAGAGCTCTGTGTAGCTAATCCCCTGCTGCCAGCTTCCACAAACAGTGTCCATCTGGAGTAAACACAGCTGGGGAAGGAGATGAGGAAACTTTATTTTGCAACCATTTCTGGTAGTGTTCACAACCATAGCCCTAAGCGCTTTCTCTGCTCACACACCACAGCACGTAGCAATAGTATTTTTCATTGATAAAGTGATTTTTGTCTCCAAGGCTCTTTGTCCACCCAGCCTGTGGTCTGGGGATGGCCTCATCTGGGCAGGTGAATTTACTGACATGCAGAACAAAACTGTGATCCTTGTCTCTGCCTAGTCTTCTGGGAAGCTTGGGTCTCATCTCACCCAGGGCTGTACATGGACCCCAAGGATGTTCCACAAGGGTCACTCTAGGGTGTGGGTCCATCTGGCAGATTTGTCTTCAGCTAGATGGGGATGCTTGGTCTGGAGTGAGGGCAATTGCTCTCTCCAGCACCAGAGAAGCCATGCTCAACAGAGAGGAACAGGCAGAACTTCTTTGAAAGTCTCCTGCTCTGGAGTTACTCAAAACCAACCTGGACATGACCCYGTGCAGCCTATCTTAGGTGAAATTGTATTAGCAGGGGGGCTGGGTTAAATGATCTCCAGAGGCTTCTTCCCAAAAATTCTGTGATTCTGTGGCTTTCTGCCTTGCTTTCTTCAAAGGTGTGGGCTGCCATGTGCACCACCCATGGGAGAGGAAAGCAGRAGGCAGAGGAGCAGCATAAATCATGGTCAGGTCACTGAAAAYAAGAAATGAAAAGCTGGGTGTGAGTTTGCAGGAGCTGTAAGTAGGTGTAAGACAACTGAAAGCCATCAGACAAAACAAGTGAGTCACTGAAAGGTTAAAACAAATATTGTTGAATTGGCTTAAGACTGCAATCAAAGCTGGAGATTGCTTTCCTGTTCTACAGGCTGARCTGTCATTTTTTTCCTGTTCTAATTTTTATCAGCGTTATCGTTGGAGGAGCAGATCCACCCAGGCCATCAATTCCTGACGGAAACACGAACGGGATTTCAGGAAGGGTGGGTGTAGATTAAATCTGGGGGATAAATTGTGCCCCGTGAGGGCGGTGAGGCCCAGACGAGCTGTGGCTGCCCCATCTCTGGAGGCGCCCAAGGCCAGGCTGGACGGGACTCGCAGCGCCCTGGGCTAG